TTTATGAACATATGTCTTATTCCTGATTAGTTGTTCAACACAGTGTCTTGTACCGTCTTACTAGCAAAAATATTGCAAACGGAATTCACAAAGCCACTCTTTTTCTATTTTAATGATATACTGACTGCATGAGGAGTTCTGTACCAAAATAAAACGGGCATGTTTAGGGTAGAAAGCTTCAAAGTTAAGAGTATTGCCTGGAGCTATCCTAAGAACTTGTTGGTCAGCGATTCTAATCTATGCAAATAAAACTTTGTGGGTACCTTCAAGCGTTTATAGGTTACAGGGTCATCAGAAACGTCTAGTTCTACTTCAGGTGTGGTCACAGGAAAAATCTGAAGTCTAAATGCCGAAAATTTTAAACTGCGTTTTTTCTTACTTATGAGCACCAATCTTTCACAAACCTAATCCCTAGCCGTTTTCTCTAAAGTATATGGTAACTAATATATTTGTCATCAGGAAGTCCGTAAACCAGTCCGGCAACTAGAAGGGCTATGCAGTCAAATTTACGTTGTTTCGCTCGGTTTTATGACAATCGGGCATGTTTAATTCAGAGATGTTCTTGATCTACTCCAGCTACGTCTTATAACTTATAACACTACTGTATCTTTCCCTTCTAAATGGGATATAGATCTCTTGAAACTGGTATCAAGATGTTCAATGAAATTAGTCGCAGGACTAATGCTAAGCACGTGTTAAAATAAACCTAGTTTGTTGGGATTATCCTTGTTGAGTCATTGAATATTGGATTTGCTCAAGACGACTCGGTCATATTATAAAACTTTAGTGGTAAATAACCTCTGGAAACGGTAATTTTATAGAAATGTATACCCAATTTATTTTCACACCATGCTGACTAAGCCAGGTAACTGAGTTGAAGTAATTTCTTTTGAAGCCTACCACTGTATATCCAGACTTAATTGTAGTGGTATCGGTTATTAACAAGCTGAACATACGATAACTGAGAAAATCTGCATTTAGCAGTGAACACAGATAGAAGGCCAGAGATGGTGAACACAGGAATAAAGGAATCGAAATGGCATGGATCCCCCATGCAGGCGAGGTTACCTTTTTTGACCTCTTGTTTTTGTATCGAACATACTGATCTGTTCACAGATCAAATGTGTCCTTCAGAAGTTCTAGACGTTACATTGCCGATTATTGCAGTAGAACTCGTCAGTGTAGATTATGCTGTGACTTCCACATAACAATTTACGGATTAAGCAGTTACATCAATACGAGTCTAAAACTTTGCGATTTGATCTATTATTACTATAGCAAAGATAAATGTTATAATACTGAATTGCATACCCATCAAATAACACACTGTCAGGGAAAATACAATTTTTTATGCAATAGATCAATAGTTTCTGGGATGCTCATTCAGTCTTATTAAAAGCTAGCCAGATAATGATACACAAAATCATAGATCCCGCTTTCTTGCTTGAAATAGGCAGCAAATACAAACATAAATGGGATGAAACGACTTTATATATATTGGTCATACTTCCGCATGTCTTGAGGTATATTTAAACATTAATATATCACGCACTGTTTAACCTATTATTGGTTCTGTTTGTTTACTTGTTTTTATGCACTTTAAAGTTTGCTTGCTACGTTAACAACACGACAGGATAGAAACGACATTTCACCTTAAATTACTGATTTTCTGGTTGAACTGATGCCTTTAACTGGGTAGTTGCAACTAGTTGGAAGCTAATTAGAACGAGAATTCATGCACATATCATCGACAGGTTTACTTCAACGGCACGTTCATCCAACTAATCGAGCTGTTCATTTTACTCCATTTAGTTTGTGTCCTTTCCATCTATAATCGTCATCCTAGTCTTGGAGCTTTATCGCAACCAATTGAACGACTCATCGGGTAAAAGGAAACTACTGGGTTCAATATCCCTGTGAAGGATCGCATGTTACTTACTTACGCCTATCATCCCTCGTGCAGGAGCGTAGACCGCTCACCAGCATTCTCCATCCAACTTTGTCTCGTGCAGCCTTTCCAGTTGCTATTCATGTTTTCCGTGCATGCCTCCTATTCCCAACCCGATGTGCTATTTTGTCTACCTCTTTTAATTTCATCGTCAGAGTTCTACCTCTTGATTTCCTCAATGTGTGACCTATTCACCTCTAACATCTTTTCCTAATTTCCTCTTCAGCTGGAAGCTGGTTAGTTCTCCCCCGCAGTAGGCTGCTGCTGATGGTGTCCGTTCAATGGACATTCGGTATCTTAAGTAGACATGTGACAACTTAAGTTGATTAGTTAGAAGTTGACCCCAAACGACTAAGTATATGTCAAAACAATAGAGCTCAAGTATTCATTCACTTCATTGCCTCGTATAAACATTATGGTTTCTGTTATCTTTCAATTAATGTTGAAAAGCTTTGTGTTTGAACAGGTAACCTCCCGCTACATTGTGATGTCCCACGAGCTAAATAAAGACCTGTTGACTACTAATCTAGTTTCTTCTATCAGTAGAACTAGGGTTACCTACAGACACGAAAGACAATCGTTTGTGAATACCTGTACTGTTTTGATGATGGTTGTAGTAGTTCTCAAAGTTTAAGGTCCATACAGTAGAACTGTCTTGACGTTTGTATTGAAGAATCTCACTTTGATGTTAATTGACAGTTATTTCGAGTTCTATTTGTTTTTCAACTATATGAATGTTGCCCTTGATTTACCGATCCCCACCTTTACTACTGTATCTGATCCTCTTTGTTCATCGTTAATGCTTACAAGGTAAATGAAGGCTTCCACCTCTCACGGAGATTCTCCATCAAGTGTGACTGAGTTGGTGTTCTCCGTATTGTATTTGAGGATCTTTCTTTTTCCCTTATGTATGTTGGGACTTCTGATTCAGAGTCTGTTGCTACATTAGCTGTCTTCATATGCGTTTGATCGTGTGTATAGGTTAGAAGAGCGGGTCATCTGTGAAATTCAAATCTTCTAATTGATTCCGAACTGTCCATTCTATTCAGTGATTTCCCTCAGATGTCAAGACCCGCATAATCCAGCCAACCACCTGAAGAAATAGAAAGGAGTTTGTCTCCGGTGCTAATTTAGAGTGCATTTGTCAGCTGACCTCTATGCACGAATTTTCATTGTAGTCCGTCATATGAATTCCGTATGATGCTGATGATTTTCTCAGGCACGCTTCAATAGAAAGTAGAGCATCTCTACAGTTACTTCTTGTCTGACGCTGGTGCTCCAGCTGGTATGTTTTCAGTTTCTTCTCCTTTCTCACTTTTGTCTGGTGGCCTTTCTGATTTCTTCGAGCGGTAAGGTAACACTTATTGCTAGGTCTTAAGGGTCTACTTCGATGTCCGACTTGTTCAGTGAGCCTAGTCTACTTAAGAGTTCTTCAAAGTGTTTTACCCACCTGCTTCTCTGTTCCTGAATTTCAGTGATTGTATCGCCTTTTTTCTCGACTGATCGCACCGGTTTACTTCACTCTTCAGATAGTTTCTTCGTTGTATTACATATTAACCTCATGTTTTTTTTCACTTGCGGCATTTTTCACTGTCATTACTAGGTCTTTCAGGTATCTATGTCGGCCCTAATGTTCCTTTCCATGTTCTTGTTTATCTTTTGCGTCCGATTTCTGCTTTGACCTTCTCTACTATTTTTCGACCATTGTCAATCACTGTCTTCTTGTTCTGCCTTTCTTGAATCCTGTTCAGTGTTTAGATAGATAACCATACTTTAGACTTGGCACCTTTTAGTATATTGAAGTTAGTGCTTATTTTACCCCTTTCCAGTGACCCGCCATAATGGTTTCTTCTTCCCGTAGATCCTGTAAGGCTTGCAACCTGTTGTTGAGAGTTACCTTGGATTCGATGTGTTTGTCAGTAACTCGAAGGAAGTCTGTATTGAGCATTTGCAGCGCCGTTTGTCTAGTTGTTTAGTGCTTCTTTAGCTTTGGATTCATCTTGACGACCACCACTGCCCCTCTGGATTTTTCCGTGATACAGATGTCATCTATCTGATTCTCTGTAGTGTGATCCGGTGAGACACATTTAGTTTTATTAATGTGTTTGCAAATCTCCCGCCATTCTCGTCCCTTTCTTCCATTCAGTCCATGTCGTTCCGTGATATCTTTATATACAGTACTGTCCATTCCACATACCTAGGGTTTTAATGTTCTGGTTGTTAGAATGGGCAACGGCCTTGTGACTTCCGAAGAAGCTTGGCTTTCACCATGAAAAGTCATAATTCCTTGAATAAAGATCCTTCAATTCGGAGAGTAGAGTTTGAGTGGTTCAAATTGTTCTTTAGTTAGGGTTGGTCTGCAATGTTTTGTTCTACGAGGTGGGATTGCTGACCCCACGCCCAACCCTCATTCTTTATCCGGGCTTGGGAGAGACGGAAACCCTGGAAGAGGAACGGGCAGAGATGATAAAGTTACTTCAAAAAGCATAAAGGTAGTTGATTATATGCACCAATAAAAACACAGAAGATATGGGGAGTTGCATAAACTATCAGTAGCCAGTGTACTCAAGTTTTGATCCCGTAATCCACAATTATAGGGAATCAGTAACTACAAATATGGTAGGTTTAATGCAAGTTAATATGTATCCGGTAAAATCACACATTGTGGATGTGATGGTGATCTGTGGATGTAAATAGAAACTATATTAGAGATTTGTTATCGCGTCAGCTGAGAACGAGAAGTGTGTGTGCAGCAGTATATTAATGAATGAAAAACAGTGTCACGCTGGCAGAGAACGAAACAATGACGTATGATCAGTATCAAATGTGAACAAACATTTTACAGTCAATAATAACAAATTTATAAACCATGTGAAACTATAAAAAATGCGAATTATAAAAAAACAAAATAGGTTCATGTTAATTATCTCCACAACCCATTGTTTGGGGACTGTCACACTCACACATAACCAAAGTATTGAAAACATGGACAGTATAAATCCTTATCTATCCGAAGTGTAATATAGTGCTGAATAACCTTAACTTCAATGTTCTTTCTTTTACCTAGGTACCTATATAACAAAACCCTTGGTTCATGATTATCAGGAAGGGAAGACAATTGTCCGGATACTACCATTATTTTATCAACAGCTACTTTAAAAATTTACTACACTTGAATGCAGACAGACAATAATGTAGTTGGCTTACTCTGTCTTCTGGTGCAGGAGCTCAGCCCGCCATTTACAAGTTGATAAGACACTAAGGATGATCTCAGAGGTTTTGTTTGATAATAGTTTTGCAGATCGTTTGCTCTCTGTAGATGAGTTCCATTGTGGAGTAATGATAGGCGGAGTGAGTTCGTTTTATTTATTGCTCATTTAGTAGCGGTTCGGTCCCCAGGAGTGCTTGTTCTTACCCATTGACATTCCAAAAGATGACACTTCAGATCGATCTGTTTCGCCCCGTATGATTGAGGATTTAAGCGAAAAATGGATTGCGTCACATTGTAGAAATCTTGCGCGGATGATTCCAGGGGGTGTTCATATAAGTGGGATTTGTCTGACTGTCCCTTATGGCGAATTCAACGGTCATACTAATCACATTCAGAAAGTAATAAGCTCTTAACTAACTGTCAGATCCTCTCTCATATATCGCGGGATGACACACCCATGAACAGGTTTATTTGTTCAAAAAGTACAGAAAAATTAGTGTTGGTGGCTGACCCCAATACAAGAAAGTATATTCGTTTGCAATTTATATTTTTCCTTAAGATTTCAATGCAAAGCTTCTGCTGCAGATGGATCTAATGTATGTTTTATATGATATTATTCTATTCAATAGAGTCAATTTCGAACAGTGGAAGTAAAGATTCGCCCATTCATTGATCGATGGGTATCATTCAAAACACATATACTACTGTCTTTGGAGACTCACTTACCATCTGATCGGAAAAAAGAAAAAATCTTGTATCAGCTTCAGGTATTCACAATTATTTTTAACCTAGGTATGCTCAAGTGTGTAGTTGGACTTCTGATTAGGGTTTACTACTGTTATACCCTCATTCACTCTTTCATATATTTAACTTTTAAGTTTATGTATATCCAATGAACTTAATATTGGTTTACATTGTCACCACAGCATTATTGTGTAGTCTACAAGTTTGCTCCATAAACGGTAAGACAAGTGGCTGGTTTTGAAACATAACACATTATGTAACGTCATCTATAGCAACTTTTTAAAAATCAAAAACCAAGGAGAAACCGTCGATTTTTTTCATCACATAGTGGTTCAAGAATATCGATGGCCGTGAATGGGGTAGATAAGTAAACATCCATGTCTTCCATGATTTGTATTAGACCACTGCCACTGCGTCTAGCGTGGTGTGCGAATTATGTTAAGAAGCAGTTCAACTAGTCTATATCCTATTTTCAATTACATTGTCTTCGCCAGCAGTCAGAAATAAAGGTCATCATCAAGCTTCCAATCATTGTTGAGGTTTTAATCAATCTCAAGTGAAAATTAGTTGGGTTGCGATAAATTAGCTCCAAGGTGTTTAGTGGTAATTACTAACCATCCTTAGTCATGTGTGCCAGATTTCGCGTTGCATGTAACTGACTAATTGTTAGTTGACCTTTTGAATAAGCTAGAATTTTGGAATTCGACTTGAGCGTAACTGATTTACATTGTCAATCATCTCAGCTTATGACAAAATGTCCTATGAAAATAGAAGAACCAAACTGATTAGTGTAAGTTTCGAGATCTTGTCTTCCGTAGTTATTGAACCTAGGAAAGCTATTCCGACTTTAGTTCTAACCGTTAGTTTCTTGATAGTACCCTTATCACCGGATTCTAGATTAATGCCTTATTTATCCATCTCCAACTGTCATTCTAGCCATTCATCTAAAGGCGGTCTAATAGTAAACATCGCTATTAAAGTGCACCAAACAAGTCCATTTCCGTGGTGAGTATCGTATCCATACATTCATACAAAGCTTACTCTTTTCACTAATCACATAATTGTTTGTCTGTTTCCCACTTTTTATTTTATGATATCCTCCGATCAACACCGGTCAAATTTCCAGTAATCAGTCTCTTACTCTGATTTATTGAGTGTTTCGTAGATGTTGATCGTATTGAATGGTTGGCGATAGGTTAAGGTAGCGTAATAACAGATTCAATTGTGTAAATAGAGTGGTGTTTTATTTTCTCGTGAGTCTAGAACCTATAACTCCTTGCGTCTAATTAGTTCTGCCGTATATTCGTTCTAGTTTTCGACTACTTCAGTTGCCATTGCTTTTGGTCCTTCACTTTTTCTTCTGTTACGATTATGAGATCGAAAAGTCAAACTGACGTATACTTGTACCAGTTTCTATTCTGTTAACGTCTATTTAACTAGGAGAGCAAAGTCCCTCTACTATATTTTCTGTAATGGATATGCACCTCAGCAAAGTGCGAATGTGTGATAAGTAGACTGTATTATTGTTGTTGTAAATGTGAACCATTTACGGTAAATTCAAAAGTGCGTAATATACTTGTTTGTTCACTTTTGTTGACAGATTTCTGTAAATAAAAGTGCTTGTTAATTCATTCAGGAAGTGTAAAATTACTAGTAATACTAGTATTTTCGTACTTTTTAAATGTATAATGTATATAAAGCAAGTACAATCAAAGTTACCTGCCATTTCATCATCTCTTTCAAGTGGTCAAAATTTCCGTTAAATTTTCAGGCTGCTGTCGAACCTTACCTTCAATCCTTGGTTACGGAAACACAGTTGCTGATCAATGGAGAATTACATCAAGCTGATGAAAAATTACTAAAAGATATAGATTTTTCTGTACCCCTTGATGCTGACATCCAAACCAAAAAGAACAAAAAATCGTCCAAGTCAAAGCGTTATGATTTGCCTCTTAATGTAGATCACTCCTTAGTTACTTCGGCGGGGAGTAAGAAATATGCAATTGCCAAGGGGTCCGTTAGTCCAGCCTTTACCCCACTTGATATAGTAATTTTCGGACCACAGGTTAGTGACTTTCATACCGCTTCATATATCTGACAATAGCCTGTGTTTAGAAGCTTTTTCACCACATACTAGAGTATTGTGAATCAGCTTTTAGTAAGAAATGAGTTACCATGCAGCTAAAACAACATAAATGCAATGAATCTTCAACTGAGACATTTTGATTCATTGATTAAGGCTAAACACTAAGCCCCTATTTTAATGGAGTTTCACATGGGGCGTGTTATAGAAACCAAGTTGTAAATTGGTTGGATTAATACTTATCAGCTGGTCTTGGCATAGAAGCATAGTTATTCGGGCTAGGTTTCACACGTATTCTTTGCTCGGAAGGGAGGATTTATTGTGGGAGTTTTCGTTAGTGAGAGAAATGCTTGAATTGAGGAGCGTTTACAATGAATTGTCTAAAATGGATACTTTGAGTGATATTAATCAATGAAGCTGTGACCTAGTGATTAATACATTCAACTTTCAAGCACTGCGTGACAGGTTCAACCCCCTCCATCTTTCGGTTTGGGCAACCAGACAGTTTCACTTGTTCTCACATGTGAAGCACACGCATTTGCACTTGGTAAATGACTTGCCGCAGGTGTTGGTCAAAGCTTTTTACTATGCCTATTTGTTCAATATACCAAGAATATTACCCCATACTAACGACTGCATGACCTTAAAGCGTCTTATGACTCAATAATTATATGATAGTACCTGGATTTAAAGGAATTACTGTACAAAGATATTAAGCCAGTAAAGTTTTGTTATACCGATATCATGGCAGCGAAAACGAGCACTATTCTCCAAGTTTGTCTACTGTTCCCGACCGTTGTTGCTACATTGACGTGGTGATCGGGCTTGCCTATCGTGATGAACCAGTCGAGCTATACTGGCTGGAACAATCGTTCCTCAAGGTCCTACCATGCCAGACAGGTCGGTTGAAGAGCGGTAAGACTAATAGCAGCAAACCCAAGGTCTGAGGGCAAAGTCGTACTGCTGACTGTACAGAGGTGTGACGACAGTAAGGTGTTCCCTTCAGACAACCAGCATAACAGCGATGCTGTCTTCCCACAAGGAGGGTGGGGTTAGAAAAGGCCGACCATAAAAATGCACACCTCACCTTATTCCACGGATTTCCGTTTCCGGAGGTAAGGTCTCAACAAGTACGGAGCTAACACGAAAATTACCCACAAAAAGGTTGTGTGTGACTGACCTCAAGCAGTTTCCTCCTGGGTACTGCGGTCACTCTCAGCTCACTAAGACCACCTCTAATCCAATTTTCGTTTCAGGTACCTCCAGAAGAACCCTTCCACGTTGTGGAAGTGAAAACCACCCTCATACCTCTAACAGCACTCAAGACCACTGATGTCTACTGTTATTTCTGTATAATTTTGTTACATATTGTCTTTCTGAAATATTAGGACAAAACATTAGGGCCCTCACAGTGGTAAGATTAAATTTTGGCACACAACAAATATGAAGTGTAATTATCGCGCTATTGGATTTAAATAAGTTTTTCCAGTCCGGTTTTGTGGCTGATGTGGTTGACTAAGCTATGTACCTGAATACGCTCGTAAATCTAGCATAGGAAATAAGCTAGAGACATGGTTCCAGAATGGATGCCAAAGATTAAAGTTAGTTTTCTCTGTTAGTTTTACTCTGTAATATCAAGCTTATCATTTCTGGGAAACGACTTAGTAGTTTAGCTTGTTCTTTTATCATGAATGATTCATTATTTATAATTATTTGTTTGACGTGCTGTGTTTCTTGATTGGTTAGATTAATACCAAAGTATCAAGCTGAAGGTAAATGAAACATGGTAGTATATTAGCAGATTGCTCATATTTTGAGCACTAGCGCATTTTCCTGATTTCTGGGATTTTAATCATCAAGCTTATGTATTGAACAACATGAATTTAAGCAAGTAACAATAGATGTATACAACACATAAGAACCACAATATATCTAACTACCTAATCACGCAAGCCAATGTAATGAACCGTATAATCTACTTCATAGTTGTCCATTCAGTAATTTCCATAAATACAAACGTTGCTGCAAACTCTCACCACCCATACTTCCCTTATTACTCATGTATGAATTTTAAGGGTGTTATAAATATCCATATTCAACGTAAATTCAGGCATCTGAAATCTATTTCAATTGTTTCTCGATGTCGTTCAAATGTTCTAACTTCTCAATGTAAAAGTCGTTATTTTCGTTTCCAATTCTGTTTTGTTTGACCTGTTGGGGATTTACACGACTTTATAATTGTGGTTGAGTAATAAAGTAATTTAAATTACGGCAGTAGATTGATATTTAATAAACCCGTTCCACTTTTCAGTTTTCAACAGGTAAGAAGTACCGTTTACTTTCACATATTAGATGTGATTACGCTGAATTATCACCGACTGTAAAAGTAATTTCCATAAATCTTTCATATTTATTAGTTTTTTATAACTCCAAAATACTGTCTTTGAGTCGATATGGTTGGAATTCAGTCGCCTATTCAACAATGATCCCCAACATTGGTTGACAATAGTTTAGCATTTATTGTTTATTGTCAAGTGTAGACTTGACTTCATATTCAGTGGGCCTTGAGACTAAGCTATTGTGCTTAATAGACTAAAGTTTTTTAAGGCGATCTGAATGTGATATTAGTTAGTTATCAGCCATATGCACGTGTATGTATGAATGCCCCCAAATGCCCTGGTACGTCCGAGGGTGGGGAGAGTCAGTTCTCCGTCTCGAAATGTCCTCATATGGCCACGCGTATACAGCCACTGTCAGGGAAGTCCTACTCACTGCCTTATCGTGGCGGGGGTGTTGTTCACGAAATTGAAAACGAAGAGCGAATGTCCGGCGCTTTAACCTGGTTGGTGGATATGGAGGATCCACCTAGCAGAGTTGGAAAAACCTGATTCCAAACCAATGCTGCACATGGGCTCCAGGGTCCTAAGGGAACAAAAGGCGTATGAACCTTTTGTCGATCACTAGCTACCATGGGACTATATCTCCTAACGTTTCTCCAGTATCCTGTAAGGTAGACCTAGGTGAAAGCCCCAGAGCGTGGTCTTCTTAAAATCCCTCTGCTTCGGTTTGGACACGTGGGCAGTATTCCAGCCCTCATACAAATCAAATTATTTGTGTGGCGCATGTATATTTGGTGCCTCCTTTTACCAATGTTTATGTGTCTAAATGAATAAATAAATATGTATTGGTCCTAGCTGTAGTAAAATATTAACATAGCGAGATGAAATTATCAAGACGAATCACAGAGCATTAGAAATAATAGCAGTATCGGTAGTGTAAAAATTTTAGGCATAAACGATATAACTTGTGAGGAATAAATTCATGAAATAAATTCTATAATAACTTTAAGACTCAGGCAGAATGAATGTATCTGTGCCATTTCGGCTGGTTCTAAACCGTTTCACGCAAATTCTCTATTACAGGTAGAAGAGATTCTAATTACGCTCACATACTCTTATGACTGATACGCCAGTGTATCGGTTTTCTCAAATCGGTTCAAAAAATTTCAATAAAATTCAATTTTCACACTATCTTAATAGATGAGTTATAGGAAATTACTGACTAGTATTGAATTGGATTTCTTTTTATTGGTACATTAACCTGTGACCTTTGGATTCTTCACTCCGATTCCTTTTTGCAGTTTCCTCAATGGCAGCGTGCAAGTTCGTCATCGTCACTTGAATCTGGTGCTAGTTCGGATACAAATATGAATAATGGAAATGATACTAATGATTCTTCAGGTAGTTTCGTTCCCATTAATCGCTTGTTAATCAATGGCCGAATTCCTGGAATTGCGTTTTTACCAGCTAATTCAAGTGTTGGAGACTTACTCGAGGTTAGCTAATCTCTTATGTATATATTCTTAATATTTCCTAATTCATTTTTTAAATACTAAACCTTTATCGTAAAATATATACTTCACGAGTATTTATTTAAAAAGGTTAATTTAATTTCTTTTGGATATCATTTTGCTTACACTTTAAACTTGTTCCTTTTATGCAGGAAAGTAATCGCTAGCAAAAACTTTTTATTCAGAAATTCAGCGATTTCAGAGTGCATTTCATATTTTCTGTTCCTTGTTTTAAAATATTTTACCTGATATTAAATAATACAAATGGTATAGCACCTTGAACCAATCGTAAGTTATACTCACTGGTATCTATATTAGACAACTAACGAAAATTCGTTAAAAACAACTAACGGATTAATTACATGTTTTGTAGCTCATTTAAATTCTAAGAAACGTAAGTTTTTTGTAGAAAGCAAAAGAAAAAACAGTGAATTACTCTTTAAAATCAGGCTATTGAAATGAATTTCTCAGTGTAGCATAATGCAGGTTAAGTCAGTTAATACAAGATAATTTTTGCATACTGTAAACGTTAGTGAGTTAAGAAAAAGTATATCTTATTTCCTGAGGATTTTTATTTACAACATTGTGTTACAGATGACCTAAATGGTTCAATAATAATATCGTTTATTGTGACATAGAAAGATACAGAAAGTATCAGTTCACGGGAGACTGAAGGTTCGATCAATACGAAACCTACGCCTAATAGTTTATGTCGATTATTTATTGCCCCCTAATATCGAAATATGTATGCAGATATTAAAATAGTAGCTAAGTGGTTAAAGCTTTTGACAATTAGGTCCTACCCATGTTAAAATTCTATCCCACTTATTTCGGCTGCATCATTTACTTTCACACGTAAAACAATATTACTCAGAGTTGAATACATGATTTTGTACTTGATTATTAAAGTGAAGTAAAGATTGAATTAAAATTTCAAAAAACTGAGATATTTTGTTTAAGTGCTCAAATCTAGGGAAAGTATTAAAAAAATGTAACTTAATTGGGCTAATATGTTGACTCATTTTACTGTTATGGTGTTTGCAGTATTTTATCGCTCTAATCCAAATTTTTGAAACAATAATTAAGGTTACTTGTTAAACAATGGCAATTATTACTTGATGGATAAATTGGCGGAGTATTTTTGTATCAACTTTCTGTAATATTTTTATAACTTGTAAACGTTTTCATTCTTATCTTAACACTATGCGAATAGTTTTACTAATAAGTAACATTTCGATGATATTTGTTAACAATCATTTAATCTACGTTGTTGATAATTTTTAGGCATTACGGAATGATCTTGTACGGAGTATACTAGCACGACTACAACTTTTAACAGAAGAGTTACACATTACCAGTGCTGAACTGGAAGGTAAGCTATCATCTGATCTTAAGTATCTATTTTTCAGTGTTTAATTGAAAATAAATTCACATGTTCACTCATTTATCTTATTTTTTTCTCTAAGTAACTAATTTTGATAGATATTATTGTTCATCATGAGAATTCTGATAAGCTGGTAGAAAAATAAAGCTGTCTTATTTTGTTTTTCATTCACTAAAAAATACATTCAATAGCATTATATATCTGTATCGTCTCATACACTTAACACCCTTTGAGGCATGCACAATACTGAAGTTTTTAATGTAATTTTAATCTGTGGTTAGATATCTTGTAGATCAAGAAGAGTTAACGTGCCGTAAGTGGTTGATTATATTTTCAGATGTCAAATAACCTCTACCTTTATTTAACGTGACATGTATTGAAGCAGTTGAATAACATTGCAAGTACAGAAATCCCTGTATAATATATGTACTAATATGAATTTTTCATCACGTAGCTAATATTTTGTAACTCAGCTAAATAGTTGCAGAATAATAAGGGTGGTTTAACATAAACTCGTTTGTTCCATTGTTGTAAACAGCTTGATTCGACCTAACTAATTCACTATGAATGTAATAGAAAGTTCACTTTCCGACTGTAGTTCTAGATAAAATACATATGAAACACTAGTTTCCCCATAACCCCATAGTTACTATTATCAAAACGTTTAGATGACGAAAACTAGGAGTCATTTTCGTCATCCACTGAAACGCGCTACTAGTACGTTTTTGCTTACCTTTAAATATATCAACTTTTGCTCTAGATTATTAAATTACAAAATAATAAGAATTCAACGTTTAACTAGTATGATTTAATCCCTGTTTCTAACAATTTATCTCTTCATATTGTTTGTTAGTGACACTAGAACTTGGTTTAATCTACTCTTTTAGGTGACTTGCAATGCCTAGTCAACTTAAGTAAACTGGGAAAGGAGATCAAGTTGTTGGAAAGCTTAATAATGGGATTTATACTTGATCTAAATCAGTGTATATAAATATGAACGTGTGATTTGACTTTCGCCCAGCTGAATAAATCAGTTTTTAATCTTATAATTTATTTTTATAGACCCTATTAGACTGGATTTTCATATTCATGTTAATTTATTAAATTCTGTCTATCAAAATCTATATAAGATATATTACTTGTTTATCTCTCTTTGGACCTACTGCGTAGATTCGGATTTCTGTTTATTTATAAATGTTTCGATAATTTGTCTTTTGATTACATATTCCTTAGTGTATATTTACACTCATAAGTGTCTATTTCCACTCTTTTTTTTCCTTAAGTTCCTCGTATGTTGCTACCTCAACGGGTATTAGTTCGACTTCCTGCTTGTCCTACACTACCATTGTCCGATTATAAATTTTGTCAGAAACTGCTGAAGATGTTGTAAATCGTTTGGTTTACTTCTGTTTACCTCTTGGAACTACTCCCACTATTCCCACAGGGGAGGGGATTACCTCCGACACCACTGGTCTAAGAAATTCTGTTTCTGAAATTGAGGTGTTGTCCTCACATGATCGTATAGATGCGTCGTGCCTGGACACTACTTTGGAAAAAAGTCCTGAACGTAAGTTAGCAATATGTATTCAGATAATATCGTGGTAGCGACTACTATATTTTTCGTTTGTGACCAGTAGTGAATTCAAGACACGCGTTTCCCATTATTAGGGGCTCATCTGATTGCACTTAAATTTCAGTGTTGGTGTTCATGTTGCGACTGAAACCTATCACCCTATATACCAACACATTTACTAAGCCAGAGTCCAAATTACTCCCAACTTGTTTAACGAGTGCGATATTTATTACTGATAAAGTTTGTTTTCTCCTTGTTGGTATTCAAAGATGGATTAGATTTAGCCGTGAAGATCAATAACGGAAGAATAAACAAATTTTTGGATAGTGTATAGTAGCAATTATGCTCACAAAATATATGTACACTTCTGTAGTTGCGATTAGTGTCAAACCCTATACAAGTTTATATTAAGCTAAGCAACCTATAGGTATCATTACCAAGGTTTGACTTGATAATTTCGAATAAATTGAGCATTTAGTAAATTGTTATAAATAAATTAATATATTTGTAATATTATTGGGATATTACAAATATATTAATTTATTAACAAGCAACCCATAGTTTACAGTATATAGGTTTAGTATATATTTAGTTTGTTAATATAGTGTTTCAAAATGGTAGTACTAATTTTATCGCCATCCAAATGTTAGCACAACAGAGAGTAGAAAACTCATTTCTTTCTATAGAGAAGTTTTCATGCAGTCGACTTTTGGGGCCTCTTTTTAAACATCCCTGTCTATTGCTTTTGGATGGCAGGGTTGTTTTCAAGAAGTACGAGTTCGATAGTAATCCCCTGATGTTTGAAAAGAGACATTACTTGCTGCAGAGTATCCCTTTTGAATATGCCGTATACCACATTCATGATTCTCATGGTATCCAGAAGTCTTAACGAACGGAACATTAACCTACTTTGCTCACATGGTGCAGTGAAGACTCATCTGCTATCAAATAAGCCTTTCGATCACTAGCTTGAGGTTTAATTATTATTTAATGCACGTTAATTTTGTTACAGTCGGACACCGAAAATACATGTTTCATGAAAGTAAAGTAATAATATTGTGAAGAACTAAATGAGGGAAGGAAATCACGATCAAAAAATGAAATAATAATTAGTGGACAATGACAATAATAACGTTTAATACGAGATACAGTTCTGTGAAAAATACAATTAATATGGAGATTATCTCTTTTTTATGAAGAATGTTAAAAACACTACAGAAAGATCACCACTGGGAGGTTTACTGAACTATATTTAGTAACATATCGAGACACTAAACTCTACCTTCTCTAGGACCCTAACTGTGGAGCTGTGATGGACAGGAACTCTCAGTTCTAGACAGCTTTCATACCGCGGTGCCATGTCATAAACTAACTACCTCTACTTTGTTAATCTAGTCACAGCATCAGCAATTAGTACACGATATGGGAGCCACTGGCATACGGAACTTAATTAAGGCATAAAGTCAGTATTTTATGATAGTGATACTGATCAACTTATTGTCACTGAACCCGAACAGATTTCTGAACCTTTTGATTACTAACATAATGATCTCACCGGCTGTGAGCTATCCTTCAGTGATAATGATATTGGAAAACAAAGCCCTCGGACGTCCTCAGGTGGGAGGGCAATGGTCATACATGCATTGGTCAAAGTTGTTCTTATTAGTGCCTGTTGTCTTGACTTGATATTGCACCAAAGATGGTCCAAACTACCATGATCCTTTCTGGATTTTAATATGCGTAGATTAATTTTATCTGTCAAACTATCACCAACGCTCACACAAATACTTAGATGTACGAACGTTCCTGTACTACATCCTTATATACAATCTTTCTTTTATACATTACCACCATTGGATTAACTACTTCTCTAAATCCTGTGTTCATCTTGCTGTGCTAATGAGGTATGACTACTTGAACCGATGCATATATATGCCTGGTCCTACGTTGCAGCTGACTGACGAACGTTTCCACTACTTCTGGACGATCGTTACAAAACGATTTCGGGTACAGGCTTCTGCTCGTCTTATTAAAATACTTTGGATTTATAAGGTAAGAATACCATGGCATATTTACGGACACTGATTACCAACTGATAGGTTGCTTATCATCTCACAATAAACCAATGTCATACGTCTACTCATTTTCGCAATAAACAGATCCGCACCACTACGTACCTCATTCAAAGTTGTTCCCAGAATGTCATCGATAACAAAACTAGTGAGGAAATAGCAAGATTGTACAACTTCCCCTAATCCCGCTTCTGACCTCTCTCTTGTGTTTGGACTCCTAAATAGTATCAAGTTAATATGACCAAAGAAAAGTCAATTATAAACACTATGCAGGTGCGAGTTAAAATGCCATCCTATTAAGTATCTGAATGGCGACATAATTGTCACTATGGCATTATGCTTACACAAACAAAGTCTTCTAGTAAATAAAGTTGTCTGTCGTATAATTTATTGCATTGTTTGTTTTAACGGTTTCATCACTGAATCGCTTAAAGTAAATCACCTATCAGTAACGAAGTAGATAATACATGTTGTTAGCTTTATCCTTTTTTCGTACTATGTGGTACTTTTACAAGCATGAATAAATCTCTTTTTACAACTCATAAGTATTAAAACCCTTTAATTGTTATGCAATTTCTGTTACTCTCTTTTTGTTTCTTCCATCCATACATACACAGTTAGTGCTGATGATGAATTTTCTGAGTCTGAATTGATAGATGAAGTGGTTGAATCTGTTCCTGTTTCTAGTCCATGTAAGTCGATTTTGTCACTGCGTAAAATTCTATGCTTCGCCATAGGAAAGTATTTGTCTATTTATGTCAAATTTATTATATGCTATGTGGAGATTTATGTTAGAAGATTAATGAAATACTATCCTGTTATGTAAATTGAAGTCGTTGGCTTATGGTTGAAACTTGCAACATGTTAGTTGTGAAAGTCAAGGGCTTTAATTAATAAGCCTTGCTTTGCATAAAATGCCACTCATATATACAAGAACTTGTCTAACAATAGATACTTTCAATTGTAGTATTGTTTTATCATCTATTGAACGTTAAATATCTGATTAGAGCGCATTCAACCACTGGAATGATTTAACTAGCTGGCAGGCGGGTTAGTGGAGTCTAGTTTGATAGATCTAACATGACTGTACTATATATATGAAATTTTTTATGATGCACTGATAAACATTTTTTTCTTTTACCTCTGTTATTATCATAGTCAGTTACGAGTTTCGTATTTCTGTAATTTTTTTTTCAGTCACACTGTACAATCCTATCATACTGGTTATCAGCATAATTGTTTTGATTATAGCTATTCTATTAGCGTATTACTTCGTTACACAATCATACCAATCAAAAGATTTCATACCTCCACCATTGCCGAAGGAAATGTGATCGTCAACCAAACCACATTATTACTAATATTATTATCTTATTCTACAAATATAAACAAAATTATCATCCATTTTCCAATAATTTACTGTATATCTAATAAAATGTGTAACTTCGTTTATTTTGATATGTCCAACAATCCAACCCATCATTTCTGTATTTATTTCTAATTATTATTCAGTTATATGTGTATTTGATGAAGAGTTGAACAGACGAAATTCTCCAAAATTATTTTCCTCTCTCGCTTTTCATATGTCACATACACACAAATAGGTCAAAATGCTCACAAGTTTATTTTGTTCAATCTGTGCTGTGAGCTGAACTGGTTTCCTGATTGTTATTAATTTTTATTTTGTAAATTTTTTTTACCCCTCTTCTCTTTTTAAAAGTAGAAGTTGCGCATAATGACAAAATGCAGTGTGTTGTGAAAGGTAAATTTATTGTCCAGTCAGTGTGTAAAAAACTACACTGGTGATTTTTTCTCAAATAATATATACAAACGAGTATACTTCATATTTTCTTAGCATGACTGTGTGTATGTGTGCGTGTACCTGTGTACGTTTGTAGATAAAAAATCGCGTCACTCTTCTGTTTTTATTGGGATTGGCTTAGCACAGCTACATGGATTACTATTTGGTATAACCTTGATTCATATTCATATTTTCCACTTTACTAGGTAAATTTCTCAACTGAAAGTCCTCTATAAGTACATACACACAAACTTACACACCCTTAACTACATATTGTGTCATTTTCTTGTACAAAATGAAGTTCTTTGACAAAAAAGAGTGTACGATTTTTCTGTTTAATTGTTGATGTCATTGTTATTATCAGTTTTAAAGTTGTTTATTTACATTATTTTCGAGTGATAAACTGATCCTATTTAATCTACTGGCTTTTTATTTTTAATATGAATTATATTTGAATTGTTTGTTTATAAATATGCGCGTGTGTACGCGCCATAGACTGTTGAGTAGTTGTTACATGTTATTTTTTTGAAGATGGATACTCGTTTCACTGTTTAGTGTTTTACACAAGATAATAGATGAAGGAGATCCAAAGGAAAAAATGAAATAAAAACACTTCATTT